TAACAAAATAGTGTGAATACATCTCATAATTTGAGATATGTTGATGCCAAAAGAAGTGACGGAGACAAGAGGTCATTGAGACTCTTCTAACCTCAAATCGTGACTGCTCGCTTTTGGCCTTTAATCCTCTTTTTGGCCATTCCCTTTTCTGCTTCAGCTGTCGCTCTTGAATAAGCGAACCCTGTTTCAGGCCGAGAGGTTTTTGTGCCGATTTCCGGTATGCTAAAACTGTCTCTCCACTTGGCTCTGGCATCGTTTTCTGTCTCGTATGCAGGAACGAAGAACTACGTTTGAAATTCTGCAGCCTGCCGGGATCAGGTGTTACAGGGTCACTAGCATCGGTAACTGCAGACTTTAAAAAATTGGTCCTCATGCCATTCGTTTGCGTTCTACTTCGCGTCAGATTTGGCTGTCGAACTAACAGCGGCACAAATGGCTTATTGGCCCTCGAAAAAGCATGCAACCCGTTCAAGCGGTCTGTTTGGCTTGGAATCCTTTGCTCAATTTCGGTTTGCTGACCTGTGATTTGCCGTTGGGTCCTCTTGGAAGCCAATTTATTCCATTTTGGGGGCAAAATATCGGCCAGATTCTTCTTTGCTGCCATTGCAGAATTAACTTTGAAGAGGAGCATTTAAAAGTTGTCAAATATAATTTTAATGCATATAAATCAAATGAAAATTGACTTGCTGCAAAAACATTTAATTTTTATTTGCATATGTGCAGTATTTCGAGAAATAGCGTATTTAGGATATAACAGAAAAGGATCTCAAATAGTTTACTAAATACTGCTCTCAGTTACAGCAAAGAATCCGAAATTGAAATCTAAAAGGTTTACTCCCAGCTTATGTTACACCAGAATCAGTAACTGTGTCTGATTAAATCTTTATTTGGTTGATTCCAGTTAGAATGGATTTTATGGTAAATATGAAACAATCAGTAAGGATAATGGTGATACTAACTCAAGATTCATAATAAAATTTCAGATCTTTTTTCTCTAATCTTCTACCATCTAATCACATAAAATTTCCTCTACTCCTCCCTTTATATCTCTCCTCACCTCTCCTGCCCGATACTCGATCATCTGACCTCACTGGCAAAATGACCTCTACTCATCTCACGTATAATCACCTCTATCCACATCTCTTCGTCCTCTCAACTCGTCTGATATCCCTTTAAATACAATAAACCAATTTAATCTGATTTAGTTTAACCTAATCTAACATGATCTGAGGTAAAGAAATACAAAATGATCTTATCTGATATAATTTGATGTTCTCCTATATATTCACTTCCCATCGTCTCATCTTTTTCATACGCTTTAGTACTCTAATATCCTCCTAATATATCAATAGATAACATCTTATCTTAGCTGGTATCCTCTCTAATCCTCTCCCCTCATCTTATCTAATCTAATCTAATCTAAACCATTTTCATAAAATCAGAGGTGAAATCTGCTATTTATGACACCTACATTTATCTTCATAAAAACGGGTATCCAAGATAATTTATAGAAAGAAAAAAGCAGATTTCACTTCGAATTTTATGAAAATACGATCTGGAAGTTCAGGCAACAGTAAGGTCAGCAAAAATAAGACGGCTGAATTACGGTAGCATCTTTGATTGTAGGAAAAAAAATCGGAAGCAGACGAGAAAGGAACAATCGGAAACAAAAAGGAGAAGTCTACAGCGAGCCTAATCAATGCAAGTAGAACCACAAAATTTGTGGGTTAGCACCCGAGACTAGGGCATAGAAGCCATTATGGATAGAAGCGTTATATATGGGGCGGAGACAAGAGCTAGATGTCTAACATTTGACGTGGTTGCTCATAGACACGGTCCGTGAGACAAAGGCTTGACCATGAGAATTACTCGGCGCACCTGTCGAACGGTGATAAGGGGATGTATGACTTCAAGTTAGTCTCCCATCCAGCTTGAGAATCCACACTTTGGGGTTTTCTCCGCGAGGTGGGAGTAGACGCTGAATCAAAGGCAGAGTGTGGGAAATAACGCATCGAGTAGCTCAGGGGTCTTGTGGAATAATTGAGCCAGGAAGATAGGAGCCGGATTCTACGGGACAAGAGGGAGACACTGATAAGACCTATGGGAAGAGGATTGCGGAATAATATGGCAGACTCGGATTTACATTCCCAGCAAAATGGGGGGAGAGATGGGGTGTGAAGAGGTCTCATGAAATCCGCTCAAAAGGGCACACCATACCACATTTAAATAAGCAATTAAGAAATTATGGTAGTGAAGGGGTGGTAAGAGGGTATAGGGTAGGTGAATAGCCCAGGACAGAACGAGAGGTACTACAACTGCTAAGCAGACAATTGGTCAAATGATCAACTTCATTTTTCTCATTAACGAGTTGTGGTGTGGTGCTATGAATGACAAGGCTCACCGACAATGCCGGTTAAACGTATGGGAATGTACCAAGTCAACTGTCCGACTCTTGAAATTATCATACATACCATGGACTCCGGAATAGGAGCATTTCTGTAGGTCTTGCTTTAAATATGAACAAATTGCGAGATCAAGGTCAAGCAACTACAAATCTAATCTAACCTAATGTAACCGAATATAATCGAATAGCATGTAAACAAAACGAATTACATTTAATAAAATATGATCCTTTCTTACTCCGTCTTATAAAATATTATCTCATGTAATATTAGTTCATTTTATTTCATATAATATTATCGTTTTAGAGTTGGTTAGATCTCATTTTATTTCAAAGCAAAATATCATGTATAATTAAGTTTATCTAATTCTATACCCATTTGACCTCAACACATAAAATATCAGAAATTTTCATGCTAACTTATATTATCTCATCTATTATCACCTATTCCAGCTGAATTCACACAACTCATATGAGCTAATCTCATCTCATCTTAGTTCATCCCAATTTATATCATTTAAATTCACCTTAAATAATCTAATCTAATCTAATCTCATTACATTCAATTTCATTTAGTTTCAGCTCATCTTATCTAATCTCAGCTCATTTCATTTCAACTCAGCTCATCTGATCTCATCTAATAGAATCTTATCTCATCTCATCTAATCTGATCTGATCAGATATCATCTTATCACATCCTATTTATTTCATCTCATCTTAAATCAACCCATCTTATTTTATCTCAATTCATCTCAGCTCATCACATCACATCACATTAAATCTCAAATCCTCCTATCTCAACGCAAGTTACCACATCTTAACTCATCTATTCTTTTCTCATCATCTCATTGCTTCCCAACATATCCAATCTGATCTCGACTCATCCAAGGAAATCTCACCTGATCTCAACACAAGTAATCTCATCTGGACCCATCTCATATCATCGTAATTAATCTCACCTGAAAACAATCCACTTCACTTCATCTTATCTTATTTCATCTAATCTAATCTAATTTCATGTCGTATTCTCAAATCTCACCTCCACTCAACTCAAAACATCTCATCTAATCTAAACTCAGCTCATTTCATTTCTTCTCAACTAAACTCTTCCAATCTTATTACATCTATTCTCATCTAAACTCATTTCATCTTTTCTCCTCTTATCTCAACAAAGCCCAGCTCAATTGAGTCAATCTCACCTCCTCTCATATTATGTAATCTATTCTCGGTTCACCTCATCTCATTTCGTCTCATCACATTTCCTATCAACTCAACTAATCTCATCTCATCTCAGCTAAACCCAAATTATCTCAATACAAATATCTAATCTCATTTCATTTATCTTATCATATCTCACCTTAACTCATTAAATCCAATGACAACGCATCTCATTTCAACTCATCTTATATTATCATTTCTGATCTACTCAGCATATAGCAAATATCTCACCTCATCTAATCTAATCTAATGTTATGTCATGTCATCTCATTTTATCTCAATACATTTTATATTTTCTCATCTCATCTCATCTCCTCTATTCTCATCTCATCTCTTTCCATCTCATCTCATGCCTCTCATCTCATCTAAACTTATTTCTTCTTAACTCATCTCATCTCATCTAAAATATCGCAATTTATCCCATTCATTCTCCTTTCATCTCACCACATTTCATCTCATCGCATCGCACCACACTTCATCTGAATTCTTCTCATATTATCTCAATACATCTCATCTCATTTCATCAACTTTCTTCTAATCTCCTCTTTTTCCCCTCATCTCATTTCCTCTTACTTCATCTCATTACTTTTCATCTATTCTTATCATATTTCTTCTCATCTCATCCCATTTTATCTAATCCCATCTAATCTCCTCCAAACATGTGAAAATGTATTATCTCTCCAGATTACTTTTAGCGAATTATGATGATTGAACCAGTTTTTAAAAATATGCTGATTGTCTTGTTATCCTACTCATAATTGAATTAAAGAGATATTTCCCCTTACTTATGTTGTGTACTTAATCGAAGAGTGCAAATAATCAGACATACTAAAGTTATACCTCCTGTCTAGAAATGGGAACACACAAATAAAATTATTATTGAAAATTTGGAAAAGCTTTTATTTGAGAAAATGTATATTGATTTACAGACTCATCCATCACATTAATTATTAAATATTAATTTACTGTTAGTAAAGTAATAAAAAGGATGAAGTTACACGAGTTTTATTTTTTTATCTCTTACTTACGAATAGTCATACTTAGGGTATAGCGCCATTAAAAAATTTTAATTGAAAAAGGGCGCCGCGACTAGGAAAAGTTTGGGAACCACTGTCTCAGTAGATTGATACTAATATACCTTTAGTTTCGTTTGAGAAGGCGGGTGCAAGGGCTTCGTAGATTGGCCTCACCGGATACCGAAGGTGGGTTGCCTTGGGCTTTGTCTGTTGAATTGTGCAAAGAAGACCACGACTCACCGTCCTACGACCACGATAACTCCGTGCTGGGCTTTCGTCCTTCATTTGACGAACATCGTCAGAGCCAGAAACCATTATTAACGAACAATTACGTCTTCTCAAACAAAATGAAAGGTATGCCTATATCAATCTAGTAAGGGATTACTCCAAACCCAGGTTCTCTTCATATCTCAGAAGTACATATGGAGACAAAACATTTCGAAACTCATCACTTTAAATCAAGAATGAGAAACTAATGGCCAGGCAAGGCAGATTTTTGAAAGTACGTTATTCGTGTATTATTACCCCTAAGTTTTTTATTCTTGATAGAAGAAGGGTCTTATAATAGTATCTCGTGATTTGTTTAAAGAAAGACTCCTTCAAAACACTACAGGATTAGATAGCAAGGGTGTTGTGATGCATAAAGCATCACGATTCCTTTGTGGGCAATTAAAGTAAATCTCAAGTGTTTGGAAATTTTCAAAAAAAATTATTGACTTTATAAAGTCAATAGATGAGCAAATAATAGAACAAGAAGATTTACTAATATGTTTTGAGGTAGTATCGATGTACACGAAT